CTATCACTTTAGATTTTAAGAAATCACAAACTTCTTTCAGAATTAAGTATTTACTATAATTATCCCAAACAGTTTTATTATATGAGTGAAATAAAATTTATAATATATAAGTAAAATTTGAAATATATATGAAATAATAAGAAACTATAGTAGCATTATACACTCGAATATTAATTAAGTTCTTAACTCATAAATTTCTATTATAAGGCCTTAATTATATTTCATTAATCATTATTATTATTATAAATCCATTATAATTTACACTTTTATGTAATTAATTGTTCTAAATTTTTATTTTATAGGTAAAACTAATTTTATATTTAGATGTATTTTTCATTTCCCTAAAGATGTTTAAATAACAATGCTAATCTCAATATATTTTTAATTATGTCAGAGCTAATGATATAATGAATAAATAGGCCGATATGATTTTTTTCTAAATATTAAAAATAGTTTGTACCTTCGCACTTATGATCTGTAATCTTCAAATCAATGTCTTCTATATGTTAATAATCGTTCTAAAAATAGATGCTTCATTAAAATTAATGTATTTACTGAATTGGATATATTATTTTATTTAAAAAATTCTATTTCTACACACATGACAATGAATATTCAAATAGGATAACATTTCTCATTATTCACAAATAAATATAAAATTTCACGAAATTTTATTGACACAATTTTGGAAAAATTCAAATATTAAAATACATAATTTATTACATAATATAAATATTAATTAAAGAAAAAAACGAATGATAGAAGTCTAAATATTTAAATAATTAATTTTTTTTAATCACGCGGAACATATTGAAAACTATTTTATCGATTTTAAATGATTTGCTACAACATAGATGGTGGCGCTACCTATATTAGTATGGAAAATTTAGGGCTTGAATTAACCGTAGGTAAAGTAGAAAATTAGTAAAAAAAACTACTGGACTATAATTAATATTGAATAAAATATAGTAGAATTATTACTTTATTACTTTATGGGGTATCAAGTATTATACTTAAAATGAATTACATATTATAAAGACATAGAAATTCCGAAAATGGATTTAAAAAAATAATACTTACCTAATACGTAGATTTCAAATATTTACCTGAATTATGTAAAATCAAACTAAAAACAAAGAAAGATATTAATAATTGAATATAATATATTTAATTATTTAGAACTAGACTTTAAATATTAAATTTTAGTAAGAGTAGTAAAGTAACGTCTCGTAACATTAACTTTCTAAATACAATTAAATAAATCTTTCTGTAATTTAATACGTTTATTAAAAATAATAAATATTCCTCTTTACTAATTTCACTTATTATTTACATATATATATATATATATATATATATATATATTGGAAATTAGTATAATATTCTATTCTAAGTATAAGTAAACAATATTCTAAGTCAATATTTTAATTCAAATTTAACGAAAACTTACACGTTAATAAAATTATTTTTTTGTTTTTAATTTACATATTTTTAATATGAATGACGTTAGTAATTACAAATATTTTATTAAGAACAATATTTTCATTTATTTATTATTATCGATTATTAGCTCATGTTGAATCATTTAAAATATAATATTAAATACACAATTTATAAATAAAGTTATTCAATTTTTTCACGGAAATATTAATTTTACGAATAATATTCGTAATTTATATTATTGTTAAATGATATCTCTGAATTGTAATTTATTAAACGAAACAATTAAAATATATAATAATAAGATAAATCATTATAACAATTAATTTACTTATTTATCTTATAGTGACCTAAAGCTTTCCGAGTATCAGAATTGTAATACGCATCATTACAGGCTTATAATTTCGTTTACAAAAAACAATATTAATGTTAAACATTGATTGCATTATTAGGCCAAAATTAAATAAAATATGTTGCTTTTCTTGTTAACTGTATTTCAACAAAAATTCAATTTTAGTCTATAATAATACATTTAATATCATTATTACAAGGAACGTAAAAAGATTTGTTTATTCCTTACCTAGCCAAGAGCAAGATAAGCGACATCATTTTTTTATCATTTCAGATTAAAGTTGCAATCTTATTATGCAGATGTTTATTATTTTCTACGTTTTACCATTTCAATTATATATCTCTGTATTGTAAAAATAATATGTAATGACATTAATCATTCTAATATAAAAATAGTGTACTAAAATTGTATTTCGTTATTGTTTTAATAACTAATCGTTTAATCAATGCAATTTCAACTCATAGCATTTTTTCAAATATTATAATTATATTATTATGAAAATTAATTTTAACACTCTTTTGTGTTGAATTAACGTTAAGCTAACATGATGGGTATCAAATCAATAAATTAAAGTATCATATATCTATAATAATAATTATTATAAATAATATTAGATAATAATATTTTGCAATTTATTAATATAATAATTTCAAATAATATAATAGTACAAAATATCAATTTACAAAAAAGATAAATCTTACAATCTAGGGATCTTATTAATCTAAATAAACTTATATCTATATAAAAAATTATGAATAAATGTGATAAATAGTTAAGTAAAAAATATTATAATATTTTTTAAATTAAACGAATATTATAATATTATCACATATCTTAACAGTAACATTCCAGTTATGGGTACACAAATGATAAATTGAAAACTGTACACACACAAATACTACATTCATTAAAAATAACGTATTATTACAAAGTCTTAATTTGCGAATGAGTGTTTATATAATATTTCATTTAATTTTATTGGAAATAATTTTGTGTAAGGTTTTCTTTTCTACGATTCATTCATTTGTAAGATTGCAATACAAATATTATAAGATTGGCAGGCATTTTTTTTTAAGTGAAAAAGAACGATGAAAGTCAGCAAATATTCAAAAACTACTGAATGAATTATTGCAAAATTCAATAACTAATGCTAACTATATGTAATATGTAAAATAAACATTATGAAAATGATTTCTTATGTAATGTTAAATATAATATTTTTTCATTATAATTTATACCATTATTATCAAAGCACGAATAAACAATTATTATTAAAGGCTTATAATAATTAACAAAATATCTTTTAATCAAACATATTTTTAAAGATTCTTAAAACACTGACTTATTAATGAACGAGTTACGAAATAAATTGTTAAAAACAATTTATTTTAACAATATATAATAAAATTAATTTGTGCTCGTAAAATAATTGATTTGGATTTTATGTTTTATTTAAGACAAATCTTCTAATTCTTATGTATTTATATAATTTTTTACTATCAATATAAAAAAATATGTCATAATTTTATGTTCTTAGAATTTATTTTTGAAGACAACTAACCATATTTATCATAAATGATTGCTCTGATTTATTCATTTTATTAAAATATAATTTCCAGAGCAATTGTTATTTATGATATATATATTTTTGACTTATTAAAGATAGATATCACAACTAATTGGCACTTGTCAACTTTTTTCATTATATTCTCGATATTAAACTATAAATCGCATATTCAAATATTTCGAATTCTAAATATTAATTGTTTTCAAAAGTTCCCTTGTCAAATAAATAAAAAATTATTATATGAATCAATAGAATATGATATGTAATGAAAATGCTTTAAAAAGTCGTATAAATGATAATATGTTATATACAGTTTTAAATCTGTATGTATATCTGTATAATATATATAGTTTTATATCTGAATTTATGAAATGCAAACACATAAGCATGATGTGTGATAGTGCTTTACATGAAATTCATTCGGATGATTTTCATTAATAAATTGGTCGATTATTTGTAAATAAATATTCACTTGAAAGTAAATTGCCGAAATTTTTATTGTAAAATACGAGATCATTAAGAAAGCTTTTTTGAGTTAAAGTGAAAGATATTTTTTATACGTAATTATATAAAATAAAAGTGAAGCATATTTTTTTTATCGTACGTTTATATTGTTTAATGCACATTTTTCACACAATAATTATATTAATCTCTCTTTTAAATTCAAGACTTGCGCAAGAATTTAAATATAGTTTTTATATCAAATTAATCAAAATTTTATATCAATCACCTGAATTTAAAGAAAAAATACTAATTAGTTGAGAAATATAAAATTTGCAAATTCATTTTAGATTACAATGTAAAATATACACTTTCAGCTTGTATAACTCCATAAATACACCGGCGTATTTATTATCGAGTAAAGAAAATATATTTATAAAAATATTCTGCATTAAATGTAATGTTAAAAATCTTTTCAAAAATTTTATGTCACATATACATATTCACTTTCGTAATAAGATTATTGATAAAGATTTGATTGATTTGATAACATTAACATGTCCATTTAAAGGAGTTTCGAGAATCAAAATGTATCATTGCTTTAAAAAAAAGTACCAATATTTGTTGATATATTGCACACACTTGAAAAGTTATTATTTCGTGATCACATTAAACATCATATTTTCCCTCCGTTTTTCAAAATCAATTAGGAATTAATTGTTTGGAAACCAAAAGAATTTTCATTAATTGAAAAACTTTTAGAACATTGAGAGTTTAAAAATTTTTCAAAAATTTACTATTATATGAAGTACTTTTTAGTTTATTACATTGAATTTTAGAAACGATTTTTTAATTTGTAGAAAATAAATGTTTTTTACATACCAGTTAACAATATTTAATTAGCTCGCATAAACCTTATATATTAATTATTTCGAAAAATTATATTGGTAGAGAAATATTTTGTTTTATTTTGTACTAGAGTAACTACGTAATATTCTTTAGCAGTTGAAAGATATTTTTGTTATTTGTTTCTATAAAGCCATTTTCGTCATATTTCGTTTCCTTCGATAGAACTTATTCGTTTATACCATTCATGATATTTACGTTTCTTTGTTCATTCTTATAAAATTCTGTATAAATATAACGAGTATTCCTTTAATATTATTTATATCATCGTATGAACGTAATATTTCATAAATGTTAAGAATAATTTACTAAATTTAAGAAAATCTGTAATTACATGATCAGTCAATTAAGAATTTTTAAAATTAATGTATTGTATAGTAGAAGTAATAATATTACACGTACGTGGCAGGCGGTAAGTTATGCCATATAAAGTAACTGTCAAATTAGACAGTTTGTTACAAATGCTTTATTTTCTATTTATTTCATCAATATAATCGCTCTTTTGTTGAATTAAATGTGTTCCTCCATCTACCCTCGCTACTATACGTGCCTGCAATAAAGCGAAGAAACTGTTAAATCTGTTATATTTGTTTGTATATTTATATTTGCTTTATATTAAAATATATAGAATACAAAGCTACACAGTTTATTATTTATCCATTTAAAATCTTAATATAGCACAATACAAGAGTGATAACAATCACATTACGTGAATATATATCACATTCGTAATGATATTACATTACAATAATACATTTTTCAAATTAAAAAATAGTAAAGAATGAAATACGGATATTTTTTTTTTTAAATATTTCTTTACCTGAACGAAAATTAGCTTCGGTTTATCAGCCAGTGTCTGGATATTTGAAAGTGTTTCTTCATAAATATTTATTGGATAACATGCATCCAAGGCCCAGATAAGTCCTTTTGCCTCTCCATGTGTTAATATAAAGATACAAATACAGTCGTCCTTCTTATAATCATCGCTACTTACTAATGCAAAACAAAAGTCAATGTATCGAGGGACAATAGTTTATTTAAATATTGATAATGGATTCTACAATAGAATAATCTTAAACCACATTCAATGAGAAACCTTTTTAAATAAAATAATAAATGCAAAATAATGTGAAAGAATTTTGGTGAAATTATCACTCTTTCACTTACGAATGATTTTCTTCGCTAGATTCTTTTCATCTTAAATTAATGACATTTTACACATTGAATTTATATTTTGCTCAAATACTACATTTTATAATAGTTTGAACTAAATTCCATTCTAATATTTAATTTAATATTAATGTATTTAGTCCAATAAATATTCCTCTCATAGAATATAGCTTAATATTAAAAAAAAAATTTAGTGTAAGTAAGTAATTACAATTTGTAAGAAGTTTTTTTATTTGCTGATATGTGTAATCTTTGTAAATAAATACATCAAAACCTAAGTTTTTGAATGTCTGTTTTACAAGTGTGGCTTCGGCATCAGCACACCTACGTGTTCCCAAATTTTTATAGGTAAACATTTCATGACTTAAAATAATGCATTTAGCGCGATTCACTTGACTTATCTTATGACAATCCTGATGGCTAAGATTAATAATAGAGGTAGGACTGTAAAAAAATAATTAAACTGTTTAATATATTATATTTAGTATAAAGACATTTATTTATGTACTTACCTTTCAATAATAGTCGGCGCTTGTGTGTTAAAGCTCTCGTTCCGATTATCTTGTCCAGCCGCATCTCCAATTATAAAACCAGAAATCTGTAAAATATATCTGATCATTGAAGATATCCTTTTAATCAATCTATAATAATTATTAAATATGAAATACAATTCGAAACAATTGTTTATCAACGCTTTTGATTTTTTTATACTTCAAAATGGATCCATCAACGACAAAAAAAAAAGATATTTCTATAATTTTATTGATATTTTACATTTCATATAACTGCTAAATTATTAACTTCTGGAAGTTCGGCAATATTTATTCTATATAAACTTAACATTATCCCTAACTTATTATAGACTTTATTGATTAATATTAAATTCCTTCATACCATTGTACATATTTTATTATTAAAACCTATATATTAATGTCATATATTTAAATATAATAATTCAATGATGTAATTGAAATTCTTAACTTGCCTTAAAGAGGTTAGATAAAATTTGAGATAAAAGCGAAAGGGAGACAATAAGGGAAAGATTAATTAAGTTCATTAGAACACCACCTAATTAAATTCCACTACATAAACATCAATACGTGAACACGATGGATCCTAAATTTATTCAATTAGTACAAAATAATCCAATAAAATTCATTCTATCCCTGACTGGCGGTTATATTTTAATAAATATTATAAGCCATATAATTTTTATACACTCTGACTGATACATACACTTCATATTTGTATTTAACTTGTGTTTAAAGACTTTATTATTCTGTTAAATAAATATAGGCAACAGTTGTAAAAATACATGCTTTCAAAAATTAATTATACAATTAATTTGAATAAGCATAAATGCGTATTTAGAGAGTACGTTTATTAAATTACAGTGTATAATAAATAATGAATACGTAACTCACTGGATCAAAATACGAAACTTCACTTTTCATTTTACGCAATAGTATATTTCAATGTAAATATATATTAAGCTATATGAATTATTATATTAATTAATAAGCTCAATAAATACTATTCTCTATATTAGGGGTTCACTTTCTTATATTAGAGAAGTTTATTGATATTTAAAATAATACAAACACGAGCTTTTTATAATCTTTTAGTAATTTAATAGAAGCTCGAATAGTGCTTTAATAGAATAAATTTAAGTATTAAAAGATGTTTATATTAATGGAAACATTTATTTTTTATTATTAGTTTATTAGGAAAAGTAATGTCGCTTTTCCAATGAATGCTATTTATTCCTGTATTTTGAACTTGAAGACAACTTCATTTAAATTATATTGTTATTATATATTTTATTACCAAATATTATATTAATATTACCATTAATATTAATTTAATTAATATTACCATATTATAAATGGAAAAGTAAAAGGAGCATTTTTGACATATTTTGGTCTCCTGTTACTGAAAAGGTAAAAATACTGTACAAGTTAAAAAAAAAAATTGTGTGAAGTGTATGGAGAAGATGTGTTAATAGAACGCCAGTGACAAAACTAAGGAACAACAAAACTTATTTTTAACAATTGCGATATTTAAGATACATTAAATATTTTTAAATTAAAGTTAAAATTAAAATTGACAAACTTAACATAGAGTTATTATTGGAAATGAACTGTTAGATAAGGATAATTATTACCGTAAGAATAATGCATGTATAAAACGAGCTATTTATAATACTATAAGATACTCGAGTAATTTATCCAAAAAAAAAAAACATCTCGGTTTCATATGATTTGAAAGAAAAATATTTCCACCATTGTATTAATGATAGCTAATTTGTGGTGAAACTCAAAGAACTTAATCTAATTTTTGTTCGTAATAATGGTAAATTCGAGCAATTAATTTGATAACTTACTGATAGTATTAAAAAAAAAAAAAAAAGAACTAAATACTTCCATTTATCAGAATGCAAGCACAATGTATAGATCAGAAATATCTAGTATTCGTCTCGATAACGACAGATTTCTTCAGTACAATGACTCACCAGAAACTATATCTTTAATAGAATGCGAACTCGCCATATTCGTCAAATCAGGTACCCTTCGATTCAATCACTTATCCCAGTCTTTACCGAACTCTTTAAATGACAAAAAATTTCGTTCAAATAATGATGTTTATAAAGTTCACTTTCTAATACTTAAATATAAAGAATTGTTTAACGTGTAGTCACACTACTGCCAAAGTAATGGAAAATTATATTCCACTACAATTGTTGACAACAATTGTTAAATTAAATTTAGTTAAAAGAATTTTATTTCTATATAAATAAGTAAATCATCGGTATTCAAATAATACTCGATTTCATTGTTTATTAATTACTATAATTCAAAATAAATTCCATTCTAAATAATAATCTTAATAATTATATATCCAGCTTTTACTTAAAAATTAGAAATACTAAAATTTTAATAGCCGATTAAAAAATATATAAATCGTTATTAAAAAATAAAATTAAAAAAAAATTTCATTATTACATATTATCAACTTTGACATAATAAACACCATTTAAAAAAAAAAATATTTTCCTTATATTTATTACCGTGTATTATTTAAATATTTTATAAAAAATTTCATACATCTATTTAGCAAACTACGGTAATCTTTAAAAAGATTATTAGCAATCAAAGAATTTTGTATGCCATTTATTTGAATTCTGTAGATTACACAATTGCAATAAAATCATAAGTTTATCATTTATCGAATGCACATCCTCTCACATAAAAATATATCGATTTATGGGTGATTGGGGGTGATCATCGCCATTTTATTTCACTGTCCGCTCAGATTTTCAATACTTCATCACGCAGAAAAAAGCAACTTTTTAATAAAATATTTGAATTTACGAATATCCTCTATTTTCACCTGTCCCAAGAAACGTAATTTTATAATTTTAAATAATATTATTTATAAACGTCGAAATTTCTAAAGTAAATTTCTAAATATCATTCGCAAAAACATTAAAACTATTGTCACTTAATGGCCAAAATTATGCATAATAATATAAATTATTATAAAAATCTTGGTTATTACTTTTATATGTAATCTATGCATTTTGTTTTGAAGTAATCATATCAGTAATTATATTATATTCAGTATAATTTTTATTAAAAATAACCCTTAGCTTACTAAAGTCATAAAACTATTCCACCAATAATACAAAAATTAATGTAATGTGTAAATGTATATATATATACATTTTTTTATTTTTACAAGCATTTCCTTAACAATAAATGATAAAATAAGTTTTACTTATATAAGCCTGGAGACAAAATCCATTAATCACTCGATACATTTTCTGATTTAATAATTTTTATAAATGCTATTGTATTAATATTAATATTAATAACTTACATTAACTAAATTTATATTTCTGTGATTCAATTGACTATCGATTTTTAGGAAATTAATTATTTGTCAAACTAAATCAATTATTGATAGCAAAATGTATGTAGACGAAGAAGAAGTTATAAAACATTTTTATTTTTTTATATCTGTCATTGTTTTAAGTAGCTATTGTTAGTAAGGTAAAGGTATTTACACAATATAATTCACAATACAATTATATTTTAATATATTAATAATATTTTAACTAATTTCATGCTAACAGTATAATACAAATATTATGTTATGTATAAATATAAGTTTTTCATTGATTTTAGAAATAAATGGAATATAAATTAGTGTGAAGTATAAAATTCGACTACCTCCTAAAATTTTTTTAACAAAATTATCCCAAAATATATTTATTATATATTACATTATATGTAAAATCTTTATTTATATTCTATACAATTTTATAATATATCTATTGTGCATTATAAATGTTCAACTATATTTGAAAAAGAATTATAAGAAAAAATATATAACTTGTTGTTGAATATAATTTACTTTTCTCAAATCATTTTCAAAATATAGATTTTAAAATATGAATTTATTATAATGTATCTTACTTAAATTGATTTACGATTCATTTGCTTATATCCTACATTATTGAAAACTACTTTTATTTATAAGAATATACAACCAACGATTTATACAACATTCAAAGTCGTTGCTAATGAATGCAGCAGCGTGAGCTTTCAAAAGGGAATAAGTTACGTTCGTAAAGTTAAATGTTTACATATACATATACAAATGCGTAGTCCCATACGTGCGTGTGTCCGTATGCTTTGACGCGTGTACATGTATATGCCTACGGTATCTTCACTGACTAGGATATTGGTTTTGCTTTGAATGTTTGTTAGATGATAGAAGGATATTTTTAAATAATGTTTATACATATTAGAAAAATGAATGTAATTTATTAAAATTTTAAATAAAGTAAAGAATTTTTTTTTAATATCTTGTATTCTTATAAAAAAAAAGAGGTATAATATTCAAGATTTAATGTAGTTATTATTTCAAATTACAAATGACAGTATTAATATGTGTAAAGTTTGATGTTTTATATACTTTTGGGAATAAATATTGTACGTTAACATTTCATATTTATTTACGGCAACTGCTTTCCTAATTTTATAGATTGTTGCAGTTTTGCAAATTCATTGTTTCATAAGGAATGTACTGCAAAGCATAATTATTTTCTATTTACGAATTTTATAATTATAGTCAATTGTATAATTTCATCGTATAAGTATTCTGTCTGGAAGTCTGGAAAATAAATTTAAATGACGCATTCAAAGTATAATTTCACTAATTTTCTCTCTATGAAGTACTGTGTAAGAAATTTTATCGTAAACTTATATAAATGATAATAGCTCTCTTAGTAATACATTAGCCAGATAAACTTCTAAATATCACAGACGATATCATAAAATTGATGTTAAGATCTTACATTTGATTGCATAAAAAAACATTTTATACAGTGGTATAATAAAAAGTATTGGAAAATAATTGGAAAATTGTGCATCTTTATGATTTGGAAACAATGTGTTTATAATGCAATTTGTTTAGAATATTAAACATAATATTAATTATAATATTAACATTATAATAATATATTGTCTATAATTGATATAAAGTGATAGATGAAAATATTAAGCGAATTAGAGATGTGTTCGTGGATGGACATAGGTGAATTAGTCCGGAGTCTCTTAGTCAGTAATTAACGCGTAATATGCATTTGCCTGCACAGAGCCGTAATATACGCGAGAGAAAATTCATGGTACAATGAGCTTCCTCCACGATCAACATTACCTTATAATCCGATAATGCCATGCGTCCTGTATTAAAGCGATCTTAGGAATTTTCGGTAAATAATGTAATGGTCGCGAGGTTCGACTATGTAACACTATGAAGTTTAGGGCTCGACGAGCAATTCATTGATCGAGAGATCGCAATATCTGCCACATATGGATTATTCTTGAGACGAGGAAATAAATCGCACATAGACCTAAAGACATAAAAGGAAAGACTCGGGAGGGGCCTACCCCCTACTCAACAATCAAAAATAAAAGTATCCACATGACGCAATCGTTTCCTCGTCGCGCCGTCACCTCGCAATGCAAGAGAAATAAAAACAAAGAAGCAGGTGATTACGGCGAATAAAAGAGACCTAGGGACTGAAGAAGGATCGTACCGTCTCGGGTTCCTCGGTAATGTATGTTGGCGAGTAGGTGACGCGGTTGAACCAGTGCAGTATCATCTCGAGGTCGGTGTCGCATTGGTCGAGTCTATTCCTGAGGGTATGCGCGGCGCTCCAGAGCTTGTCGATGTTTCGCTCGGTATCGGTGAGTCGCGCGCCGTGTGACCGACACCTGTCGCAGCCCTGCTCCTCCTCTTTGCCCTTGACGATCGGGGCGCCGACCTCGCCGCCGAGGCCGAAGCAGCTTAATGCGCTTCTCAGGTACTCCATCTCGTGTGCCTATAAACACGGACCTTCTCTACTTGAGCGGAATCTTCATTCGCCGACGATGGGCCTCACGGTGTCCTCGGCGATCGCCCGGCAACTGACCGCCAACCGAAGCTGGTGCAGGTTTAAACCTGCAGCGGAGCTACGCGCGCTCGCGGTAGTGGGAGAGACTGTAAGAGAAAGTACGCGAGGCGGGGACGGGTTGACCTTCCGTCTCCCTCGCTCTCCCACAATCAGACGAGCATTCGAGCTGAGACGCTCTCTCACTCGCACGCTCTCTCTCTCTCTCTCTCCCTCTCGTCGTCTTCCTCAACTTTTCGCGAACGACTATCTCATTCGCTCGTGCACGGTATGGAAAAAACAGGAGCATGTACAGCAAGGAACGGCCGCTAAGCAGTTTTTCGATGCGTCATGTGTACTCGGCCGAAGCGCGAACTTGGCATGTGCGCGAACTGATATTTATTCCGCATTCGGGAGAACGGACTGATCGGCAACAGCCAAACTGGGATAGAACTGAATTTCGAAGGAGGTCGGTCGTGGGAACAATTTCACGGCGAAGTCGGGCGCAGGTTGGAATCGCAACTTTGGAATGCCTTTCCGAAAATTTTCGGACTCTCCTTTACACCATTCCCCTATTCAGATTTACAGTTATGAAATTTTTCCCGCCTCTCCTCCGATCCACCCCCTCTCTCCAATCTTCCCTCGCTCTCGCTCTCTCTTTCTCGCGTGATTTTTCAGTCCGCGACGATTACCACTACCTCTACCGAAACTCACAAGCCTGGCAACTTCCGAAAAATTTCAAGCCAGCTTAGCAACAAGAAAATAGATTTCAAAAAGTGCCGAATCCTAAGATTCGTAATAATGAACTACGGAGGATCGATCGTTTAAAAAGTCCGCTCCATGTAGAAAAGCGTTTATTTTTATTTCGAAAAATCGAACTTTCATTATCCGAGGACGACCTGTTTCGTATTTCTAATTTCCGTTTTTATGAAAGATCTTCTATTTCTTTGTATAAATTTTACTCTTCTAATACAACTTCCTCCCGTCCTCCCGCCGTTACTTATTCCGGCTCACTCACTCGCTCGTACACGCACACGTGCGCGCGCGTGCACACACTAAAAAAAAAAAAAAAAAACACACACACACACACACGTACACTTTCTCTCTCTCTCTCTCTCTCTCTCTCTCTCTCTCTCTCTCTCTCTCTCTCTCTCCCTCTCTCTCTCTCCCTCTCTCTCTCTCCCTCTATTTTTTTCTCCATATCATATGTATACTCTTTTTCCAGCGGGAATCTTTCTCGCTTTTTTCTCTATTTGTCTTGGACTTCGACAAGAATTGACGCCGCCGTCGCCGCCGCCGCCGCCGCCGCCGCCGCCGCTACCGCCACCGCCACCGCTACTGCCACCACTGTCGGTTCTAACAGGCGCGTCGAACTCGGATGAGTCATCCATACAGCATGGTCAAGGCGAAAATTGCCAGCTTCAAAACAAAGAAAGATGAAAAGAAATCAGCGAGCGAGAGCGCGATACGCGTAAGCAAATTAATAGCGGCCGCATGGAGAAATGGAGAAAGGGAAAAAAGGGGGTCCGACGATAAGTGCGCACGCCGTTATTACGCAATACTCTACGTGCGTCCTATTCTTAGCTTAAAAATCGAGATTACTAAGAATTTTATGCTTGCGCTTTATTTACCTACAAGGAAATTATCGTATGCTGAGTACCTGCTATACTATCTTAATATAGGAGCATTATTTTTGTCCAACAAAATACAATTAACTCACTGCATTTAATTATGTGCAATTAAAATCAATTTCATTGATGATATGCTGGACAGCTAGAGGGTACGACGTTCAGATACTTTCGCAAAACAGCGATTATTTATTAACGAATACGTATGCACATGAATTGTTTTTATAATACACACTGCTAATGAAGTATTAATTATGTGTATTAATTGGAGTAAGTATAATCGAAATTTGAACGGTTTCCGAAGCAGAGCTTAAGATCGTCCTCTTTCCCGACGCTACTCTTTATTATCAAGAGCCCTCCTCCCTTCTGCCACATGCCACAGGTGAGCCGGACGTCAAGATAATTTACTGGGGAATGTGTGTGTGCGCGCGCGCCAACAACGAGTCGAAGGGTTATCCGCCAGACCCAAGTTCCAGTTTTCCGCGTGCCAGCGCTATTTATTCCCTACCTTCTTTCTTTCTCTTACGACTTTCCATATCGGGCGTTCTGACGCATGACTTTGCTCTAAGCTACCGAGACTATCTTTACAACAAGACGGGAGATCCATTCGATGGGCCTAGATCATTGCTATCAATGACCTCACCTTGCAGGCTTCCGTACAACTGAGATTTCACTTGGTGGCTTGTCGCACATATCAATTTCTCTCGCCTTCGTCACTTTGTTTCCAGTATTTTTTCTCTCTATTGTTATTGAAAATCGCTGACGCTCGTCCGCATGTTCTTTCAATAATTTCGTGAATAACTTGTAAATAACACTGGATAAAGATTGACAAAGGAACAAAATTTATGTGCATCGACGCTTGGAATTGCAGTGGAAACGGAGGAATATAATTTCTGACACTCTTTTCAAAAATATGTACACATTATTCGAATTGTCTTTATATTTGACTTCGATTTATTCATGCCTTAATTTTAATTAACCTTGACTTATAAAATCAGCGACACTCATTAAAGTTCTATTCGTTATATCTGTTCTTATTCAAGCTTGTAATGTGTCGTTGGATTAAAAGGATATTGTATCGATAATTTATTCAATGTCATTTTCTTGTTTTTGTGAATTGTAATACCCGAGAACCTAAACAAGAGGCTATTAAAAAAGAAATATTTTTCGACGAGATGAAACAAGACCGAGGTCAACCATCGCGTATTAAATAAAACTTTCTTGTCAATAATGTGCGAAGCCATGCCATATAAATAGAAATATTTTTAACTTCCGCGGGGAAATAAACTTGGCGATTACAGTTGCGCCAACAAAGATTACTTAGATCATTGGCTTTTAAACGTAAAAGTATACAGTAAAGTAAGTGAGCGAGGGATCGACCGATGTGATTCAATATCCCCACTATTGAGCGCCACGTGCCACCTCCCATACCACATAACTACACCTACTCCATGTGCTCCAGGCACAAGTTAGTGAGAAATGCAGTGACGGCTGAGTCGCCGCTATATCGCGTGTGCGCGCGCTCGAGTCTCAGGAGACGTGTCATGGATCTGAAAGGTATTGGCATACTGATTAACTATTATTTAATGAGCTACTTCCATGTAGGCATTTATTCTCAGAATAACATGTGATATCAAATAAATATTACATACAATTAGAGTCTATGTTTACATTTAAATAAAGATATTAAATAAATGCTGTATTAATATAATACGGGTATTTATATCTATTGCTCTTATTGTTCTCTTTAGACGATCGTTCACTACTTACTAGTTCTCTAAAAACATCAGTGTTTTGAACTTTTTAACACGTAGACCTTAGAGTGTCTCGTATATTTGAAAATAATGAAATGTATTATACACTTTAAGACCTTAAAGTTTATATATTTAAATTTTAATAGGAATATACATGTTTAAAATTTTGAAAGACTGAAGTATCTCTCTCTCTCTCTCTCTCTCTCTCTATATATATATATATATATATTGATACACTGAAATAAAAAAATTACGATAACAAAATTAGCGATTTTCATTACACTTGATATTACGGCAACTCTTAAGTTAAGAAAAGCTATTAACGCTTACATAACGAGTTACATTATTATGTTTACTTTTATCGATTACGTTATGATTATTATAATTCGGTTATTATGAAAAGAGGAACATTTTACAATTATCAATATTCTATCGATTTGTTGATAAAAAGCAATTATAATTTCAAAAAAGAGTATCACAATTCTATATATAGTCTTGAATCGAGAGACATCCAGTAGTTATTGATATGATAGGTCAGAAAAATTTCAAAGAGTCATGTAAGTTAGGACAAGAAGATGACAAAATTATGTGACGCGAGTAGATAAGAAACGGCTATAGTAACTAAAAATATACAAATAAGCCAATACAAATGCATATTATAAACAAACAAAAGTTTAAACAAATTAAAACAATTAATTTATACTAAAATTTATAAATAAATAACATGCTGTATAAAAACCGATAAAATACTCTTGTACAATGTCTAATCACTTGAATATATGCTTTGATTTAAATTTGAATAAAAACCTTACATATTTAAAACGTTAAAATAATTTCTTCCCTTATAGATTTTATACATAAAAGCTTATTGAACATAATTGAATAATTAAATTGTACATTTATTTGCGTTCTAAAAAATAACAATCTTGTATCTTATACATACATTATAGTTAAAGTAGACCTGGATAAAATTGAGAATTATTCTATATTGATGATTTATTACTATATATATATATATATATATATATATATATATAGTCACGTATTAACGATGAAATAATTCATAAGTGTATAATTTATAAAAATTTTTACATACTATTATATAATTTAATTTTTAATAGTTCTTAACAACAATTATTCAACGATTTATATAATTAACCGACGTTCCCTTTTTCGCAAGTTTTTTTTTCTACAGTAATAACATGGCTTTTAGTAATAAATAATATTTCACAGTATAAATAGGACAGTTATGAAATATAAAGATTAAAAAAATAGAGGCCAAACAAAAGATAAACGAGATACCGCGAGAGTTCGATTAAGATCAAAACGCTCAATGCTGAAACCGTAACTTTAAAATAAAGTGTGCTCAAGGAAATATATGTATTTTTCAAGATATAAATATATTAATGCAAAATTAATTTGGTACTATTAAGGGAGCCACGATAACGCTTCATGAATAAACGTTAATATGATCGCATAGAGAAAAATCAATATGAGACTTATATAAATTATCGAGTACGAGAAACTTATTGTACGGTTTTAGATTTCAATACATCAATTTAGAATAAGCAAACACTTATTTAAAACAAAGAATTTCCTATATTTATTTATACTTTTAGTCATGTATCATCCCTGATGATA